ATTAACTTTTGCATGTCTTAAACATCTTAAATGAGTAGTGTTTCAGCTTTACGGTAGAAAATTATGGGATGTGCATGCTGTAATCGTCTGATCTGAACATCCTGTCAACATTATTGGACTGTTGATGAAATCACCCTACTAATACCAGATGGGTAAATTCCCAATATTCCAGGTTCTAAGTTATTTTTGTGCATATCATTTTTTTATTAACAAGCAGGCTTACCACGCCAAATAATGGCTTCGATTTAGCTACATCACAATAGGTCACCAGTGACATTGATTCACAAGCCTTTCCTTGTAACCGGAAAGCTCTCATGATTCATTGGTAAGAAATAAACATTACTAACCATTTAGGGGGTATAAACAATCAGGTAAGCTACCAACTTCAAAGAACTGCCCATGTTTTTAACCTATTGCATACAGTGAACTGGCCCAGCAAGACCGTAGGTTAAATATTTTGTGTTTTGTTTGTCGGAGAACTGCGAACTAATCATTTAAACTGAATGGCCTGTAACCATACCGTTCTTAGAGTTGGAAATATGACTGATCGATGAGATTGTTATTTGGAAAATTTTCTGCAAGTTCACGCTGAAACCTCTGTTTGGCCAGATTTCCCAAGTACTCCTAACTTACAGTAAGTGGCTAACCTACTTCCGTCAGTTATTAACGAAAATAGAGCTTGAATAGACCTGTTTTCAATATGGGTTTTTTTCTGAAAATAACTAGATGAATCTGATGGGACGACTGATGTAACGCCTGTTATATTTTGTGGATATGATCTCGTTACTGATACGAAAACATTTGCACTGATATTACGAACAACCAATGTTAGTGTTTAAAATTAACCTACGCATTCTTTATAATAGCATTATGCAAGTATTATTTTGAAACTATTCCAGCCAAGTCTTCTTTCTAAAAAATGATTTACGTTAGATGTAAGCTTTCAAGACACATAAATTTAGTTATTTTTCCAGTCTCGCAATCCAAGCAGTCTAGTTTCCGTACTCATTTTTAGTTGTTGTTTATACATGATTCGAACTAACTAGATAACCTTCTTTATATTAAATTTGTTTAATAAGCGAATTGCTCTAATTTAGGCCTATTTATCAGGACATCAATGGTTGTTCAAAATTCGTTGTGCTACGAGGAAACCAAATGCTACTCACGCTTTCTGTATCCGTCATGATGTAGATGGGATAGTTTGGTTACCATCATGCCAGAATACACTGACAGGAAGAGACCCATGTGTATGGAGACATGTCTCAACTTTGCAAGCATTTGGCTACGTTCTCGCCAGTAAACGTGAAAGTAGGTTTGTTTCTAGTCCAGTTTTATCGGACGGATATCCACTAAAATTTGTGGCAGTTGCAGACTTGACAAGGAGAATCTACATATATTGTCAGCCCCTATCAAATGATTCTAAGGATACAGAACTCCGGAGACGCACAACAGCTAACTCATCTTCGGCAAAAAAGCAACAGATTGTACATGTCGCATCACAACACGTAGTTACCCTACCAACAAATGACCCAATAATTGGATTTGTTGCTACAGACAAACCCTATCCATCAGTTTTGGTATGCACACAGTCTACATTGTACTTGTTATCACTTGATGGATGAAAGCAAATTAATTGCATTATCAGTTGTATTTTTGCCATAGTAAATTTTACATAAGATTGTTAACAAAATTACTGTTTGCAAATCGTACGCTTTTTGTAATTTTCGTGTATTGAAGAAAAGTCGGTATATTATGTTGCATGTCGTATTAGTGTTTTGTCATTGCTTAAATTCAAAAGCTCTTTAATTAGTTATAGGAACTCTGTTGGACATCGCCGTTTGTAAATGCCGTAACCGTAGGGCTAACTTGTCGAGGGCCTGGTAACGCGCTTCTGAAGTAGCCTCTGTACTAAGCACCAAAATTTGATGCTCTTGGTCAATTCGCGCTTGTATTGTATTATCTAAAATGCAAGCCACTAGAAGACTTTCTACTTCTGGGTCGCTTAGATTTAACCGTTGTGAAATGAAAGGTATGCGTATTCTGGTGTACGGGCGAATTAATTTGATGAGAACTTCAGTTCTAATATTACGAAGTAAGTCTTCAATGTGTTCGCGAATAAAAGAGTCTTCCATGATTGAATCACGTTGATGTCGTAAAATGGACTCGAATTCTACGATATTATTGTTCTGATAAGCTGTTACAAGACTTGTCATAGCCACAATTTGAGGATCATTTTTGTACGGTTTTGTTTCCTACAAAGCAAATGCAGTTTAAGGAAAACATGTAAATAATATTAGGATCTTGGCTCATTATTTTAATTGTAAATACATCTTCATATTACTTCTTGAATTCAAAATAAAGCAAATTTAGCGTACTTCATTTATCTGAACAGGGAAAAGTGGAACAAAGGCGATTAAGAAGTGTAATATAGTAAGAAATGATGACACTACATAAGAACATGTGAAATGATGCATGTAGTTACGAGCTTTTAAAGCAATGATCAACACTACTACCACTCAACCTTTACAAAGATGCTGTCAGGTGGTTACTAACCCCAATAACAAAGGAATGGCAAGTTTAAGGGACGCTCTATGAACTCTTTGGTTTGAAACTATGTGGAGATTATTATACTGCTTAGCATAATCAAGATACTCTAATGGAGCTTTCGAAACCTAAAATCACTTTAACCATATTGCCTTCTAGCAAAACTTTTAGAGCATATTCTGGTTCGACACACTGAAAAAAGCTCTGAAATTATCAAAACACTCAAATCCCAATCATTTGGGTTCAGACTCAGACCGAAAAGCACTACAAACACACCAAAGCTATAACTAAATACACGTAACCGCATTTAGTAGATGAGTTACCTCATTGTACATAAAAAGAATTAGTCCACTGTAATTTATATGACATTTAAGTGACTGAATGAGAATGAAAAGGTTATAAATAAATTGACCATCTGATATAAACCTGGTTTGTTACTTAGGAGTCGGTCTTTTATATATTTTAGACTGTCTAGGACGGATTTCTATGCTTTGATGATGGTCTAATCCCTTATGATGAGGAATAATAAGCCATTTTTGCTTCGAAGTTATGGAGTACTTTTAGTCTGCTATAAATCTAAACAATTCAGTTACAGAGGAGTATGAGTTGCATCGTCAAGCATAATCAGATAGATTCAAAATATTATGAAGCCATACAGTCTACAAAATATTCGGTTAGTAACCACACCAAGCAATTTTCCCATTGCTTTAAAAAATAAAACAATAAATCGCAAACCTGTGAATCGAATGGATTAATACCCGATTTCATCAACATGCTGGCCAAGACAAGATACTTTAGACAGTGTGTCCTACGTTGACATCCAGATTCATCATAGTTCTTGAAGGCTTCGAAGAAGTCAGTATGGGATTTCGCATATTCTCCTTCGCGAAGATGCATTTTCCCACCACATTCTCGTATTATTCCCATTATGAGAGGATGTGGAATGGCCGATTTAATATGCAAAGACTGTTCATATAATGCTTTAAGCTTTTTGTTGTTTTTTTGGGCTGTATACATTTGAATTTCCAGTGCGTAAATTTCTAGCAGCTGAGTTCCTTTCTTAAGATCGTCTTCTCCATCATTTGTCTGACAAGATTCACGTAACTCCTTAACAATCTTTTGTAAATGCATATAGTCACCACGTTCCAAGTAAAGTTTACCCAGTTTTGTGTTAGTTTTAAACCACAATCTTTCGTTTTTCGACTCACGGAGAGCATCTAGAGTAGTGATATAAAACTGCTGCAACAAATCCATTTGCTTGGAGGTTGACACGTAATCCAAAATCGAATTAATGGACTTCTCAGAATAATTTCGAGTTACAGCTGACTTTATGTAGGTGAGGAGGACTTTATAATTTTCCATCATATTATCGAACCTTCCAAGCCTAAAATTTATTTTAATCATTTGCTTTAATGCTCTGAATCCCCAGTCGCCTTTATTTCCAGTACCTTCAATATCTAATACTTTCTGGAATTCTAAAAGTGCCATGTCTGGATTGTCATCTTTTCGCGACTTTGCCATGTAGTACTGATTTTCTAAATCAACATTGGGTTCGGAGTTGTCATCTGAGGAATATTCAACGGATAACTCCCCGTCATCAAACATATCTTCATTTCCGAACATGGCTTCCTACATGTATATGTATGTATCCGATTAGAACAGTTAAACACTATAACAAAACAACAGTTTTTTTTTCATTTAGGCAATTAGTAACAATCTAAAACAGAAAGTTATATGCATAAAACATGTGAAATATGCTTGCGTACTGAAAGTTGTGGAACGATGTTAAAAGTCACTGTGTGGATACACTCAGTTCTTCATAAAATCCAGGTATATACTAGATTTATAAGCTTTTGGAATTCTAATAAATACCCTAGGAATAAGTTTCGCTTCCCATTAGGAAAATATATTCTCATCCCCCAAATACCCTGGTACGGAAGAAATGGTCACGCATGTACAGCCTCTGCCAAGAAAGGCCTACTCACCAGCTTCTCGCGGTAAGTGTTGTTTAGGAAACTGAGAGGATGAAAAGCAAATGTCTGGTGCTTTGACTGGGCTGGTGAATACGGATGGTGCACCTAGAGGAGTTGGAAAACCCTGAGGGGACGAAAGGTGTATGAACATACTGTTGGTCGCGGGTTACCATGGGAATGCATCCCCTGACGTTGCTCCACTGCTTTGTATATTAGACCTTTAGGTCGAAGGCTCCGGGCGTGGTCCCCTAGGAAGACCACCTGCTTCAGTTTGTGCACCCGGGCAGTATCACAGCCCACAAACAAATCAGATGACTTGTGTGGCGCATATGTATTCGGTGCCCCTTTGTACCAATATTTATGTGTTTAAATAAATAAATAACATCCAAATTGCGAAATAATTCCCAACCATCTTCATTACATGCTTTTAATTGTCGAGACTTTATATTAGATTTCCGAAACACTACAGTTTACCTTTCCATGATGAAATGCAATAATAATCAGAAGTTCCAGGATAGATTACAACCGCAACAAAGACAACGAAAGCAGGAATATCTACGTCAGTATGGCCTGGAAGAAGTCTCGCACTTGATGAATAACAGGAGTGAGTAATCAACAGAACTTTCATCACAACGTTAGGGTTAGTATTCTCTAACGAACCAACTTTCATCAAGAACTTGAGGCGCAAACTCTCACAAGTGACCAATTATATGTGCATTTATCAAAGCACCTACTTCCTCAATCAGATTATTTTTATTTCCATGTTCTCTCTGATTATATTTCATCTCGACTTCAACATGCTATCACATCATGCTGCAGAATCTAATTTTAACGGCCATACGGTTAATCATCAATTTATAATCTCTACAAATACATACAATAATAGAATTTTGAATACAACCTCGCCGAATAAGTAGTCAAAAATGGTACTTACCGATCGTAAATATGCTTGCACGATGGGTGACTCGACGGAAACACCCTCAAACTTGTTACTGTTTGACTACGTGCTTTTTGACTACACTCCACTGAAGTTTGACTTATCATGTTACAAAACATACAGAATCCTACTGGTTATTAGTTGAAAATTGTCTAGGTTATTTTAAACAAATGGCTACTATGGGGATCACAAACAATAAGAAGAACAGAATAAGTGTGTCGTTAAGCCGAGATGGTCTGTGAATAAACTAATGCATATAAAGACATCTGACAAACGACTTTTGTTTGCAAACACGAGGACTCTGTCACAAATGGTTTGTTGTTCTGTTTGCTAAAAAAGACTGACACAGGTTCTTAGACATCTGTCCCCAGACAAAGAAATCAAGCCTGCTAAATTTGTAGGGTAAAATACAGAACTTTTTGACTGAACCTTGTAAATGACATCAGATGACTGTCATATCACATGTATCAGAAAATGAGAGGATTGGTCTGCGGTATATTTTAACAAAATATGTTTATAAAGACACTGATGGGTGCTTATACGCTTAGTACCACAGAAATAAGTAGACTGGCATACTAATTCGTATACATTTATGAGTGCGTCAATCTGAATCTTTGACACTATTGTGGGCAGTTTCGAAAACTGATAAAAATGGCAGACCAAGGTATGAAATCAATCGGATATACGTTAATTGTCATTCAACCAAATATATTTGGTGGCTATAGCCACCAATTATTGACCAAATTGCTGGCTTTTTACGCTGTATGCATTTGTTAAACACTTTTCGAACTAACCATCAGTACCTTCAATCCATTATTTTAAAAAAAAACAGGTGGCTTGAGGTTGGACCTAGCAATAAAAGCAATTCAAATATATCAAACAATAACCAAATCGAGCACCTTATGTAGCGAAACTTTGGAAATTACCTCACATCTTGACAACAATCAATAACAAGACAATCATACAAATTATCATACTTTTAATGCATATTATGCTTCAGAGATCACTGTTACTACAACTCATTTTACAAATATGCAGATATACAGGACTCGTTATCGTCATACGACGTTTGAATAAACTATCTAAGCACACGAAAAGCAAAAAATTTAATTTTTCTTTCCATTAAGTATATTCTCAGAATTTCATGTTAATTTATTGTAACTGAACAAGTGAGTACATTGTTGTTTTGTCAAACTTGTTCGAAGGTCTAAGTTACTGCTCTGATGATTTGGTGTTGAACTTTGCCGGTTATGTATGTCGGATTGGTAACTTTTATAACTGTGTGAAGAGAGTTACGCTAAGTGTAATGATTTTTTAACAGTGTTTTTTATTTCTAAAAGTATTGGTAGTTCTTTTTTAAGCTGGTGAAAATACCTACAAATCACAAATATTCCACGGTTATATCAGAGCTGTGTTGTGTTTCTTACAGTTAGTCATGCGTAAAGTTGGTTTATTTACTCATCCAGCTTTATCGCTTCAGCCATGAAACACGCTCGATCATGTTGAAACAAATTTGGTCGATGTGTCATTGTAATGCTGTATCATTTTCCGATTAGGCAACAAGGAAACCGTTTTAATACATTTCTTCGTGTCTGTTTCACTCTTACGTCATTCAAATGGGGGAGACCATCTCCGGTAGTTGGTTCTCAGTAGGGAAGTTCTCCGAATTGTCTTAAATATTGATTTCGAATTCCCTCGCTCTATTTCCCGCATTGACTTAAAAGACGTTTCCTACACATCTGTTTTACTCCATATTATGTGTAGTCATTGTTGCAGATTAACAGTTATAATAACCCTTGGGCTACAGCGTGACACCTCCATAGTCATAGTCGACCATTGATAGTCCAAAATCCCTGTTGTTATAGTGTTGTATCAATGACATGGTTAGCTTCGTATAGTTGTTATCTTGGATACTCTCGCTTTCCGTGGTGTATACTTGCTAAGTATTAAACACGTCTCTGTCATATGGTTGGATGTCCCTTAAATACTCCGGTAAGCATATCTCTACTATACTACCACTTGTACTCACTAGGCAGGTGTCAGGTAAGAAATATGTGTGTTTGTTGTCGATAGATTTTCAGATTGTAAAAGTTCATTAGACACTGAGCTTTCGTGCTGAGCTGCTGTTTGCGAATTTCACTTGGTATATATTCTTGTTCTCAAATTTATTGGCTTTGACTCAGAATTAAAACGGCCGAGAGTGGGGAGAGTCTGCTCTCCTTCTCGAGATGCTTTTATATGGCTCAGTCAGTCAGTCAGTTACAACGTAGAACTTCGTAAGTACGTACATCAGTTCGAGTTGCCATACCACATTAGCACAGAGATGCAGTTGTCGATTCAAATCCCGTAGTGGTAGAGGTAGTAAGAGTATAAGCAGTAATCAGAAAGATTAGGGTTTGGAGATGTTATTTAAAGAGTATAATCCAGTGAAATAAATTTGGGAAGAGAAAAAAGAGACAACGAAGAATCAGGAGATTAGAATTTGAAAGAACACAAAGAGTGGATGCACCTTCGCCATTGCAAACGATTTTGAGCCATGTCATTCCGAGTCTCTAACCATCGGTTGCTATCATCTCGCGGTCTCACATGGCTACGTGTATATAACTTCCTCCAGGAAAGCCCTACTCACTGCCTTCTCGTGGCAGCGGTGTGATTTACGAAAACCGAATGTCCAGTGCTTTAACCGGGCTGGTGGAGTCCACCTAAGGGAGATGAAAAACCCTGATTCCAAACCAATAGTGCACATGGACTCCAGTACCCTGCGGGAGCAAACGGTGTATGAATCAATCGTCGTTCACCGGCTACCATGGGACCACATCTTACGATGCTCCACTGCCTTGTGGATCAGACTTTTAGGTCGAAAGCACCGGGCGTGGCCTCCCTAAGAAAACCGCCTTCTTCGGTTTGGACACACGAGCAGTATCACAGCCCTCACATAAATAGAATGAGATTTCTGTGGTGCATATGTACTCGGTTCCCCGTCGTACTAGTATTTATGTGTTCAAATAAATCTAATCTATCAAACAGTAATACACTTTTGTATCGTTTCTTCTCTGAAAGTAAATAAATCGTTTAATTACCAATAAATTTCAGTTTCAAGGCATGGGTCACCAACAAGTTAAAAATACATTTTGTACTTAATCACTGCCTTATCAACTCGTTATTATTTCTTGAACTTCTCCATATTACAATTTAGATATTCAGGTTTAACCAAGAAATGTCATTTCTCACTAATTTTGTTGAATCTATCATTGGTCTGTATGTTTCTGTATTCAAAAACTTAATAACCTGCAAAATATGTGGCTTTCGTGTCATATCACGTAAAATGTAGTTAACTTTTAACACTATCTCCGGATACTTTCATGTATTACGGGGCAAATGGTATTTGTTACTTTGTTAACTAACATCAAATAACATTCACCCTCCTTACACGTACTGTCTAACTAATTTAATTTATATATCGGTGGCTCCGCTAAGCGAAAACACTGCGAAAAATTAGCACCCCCATTACCCTAGTATAAATTCTACGTAACGTCCTTTGGTTGATAGACGGATATCTCGCCTACTCCATAAATGACGCAAGTTGGCAAAAGCTAGTCGAGCCTTCTGTATCCGTGCTGAGATTTCGTCGCACATCAGACCACAAGGGCTGATGAGACTTCCAAGTTAAGTAAAGCGGTCGACACACTCAACTACTTCACTCCCCATCACTCGTTCGGGTGTCGATGTAACCCAATCCTGAAGCAACATTTTGCATTTCGAGAGAGAGAATCGCATCCCGAACATGCTTGCATTGTTGCTTAGAGTGGCCAGAAGACTGCATTTTGTCAGCGTCTTCACCAAATAAAACTATGTCATCTGCATATTCTAAGTCAACAAGTGAACGCGGTAGAAGTTCAACCCCTGGAAATTTAGATGAGGAGAGTGTTATCTCTAAACGTACGTCGACTACAAAGTTGAACAAGAATGGAGAGAGTGGACAGCCCTGACGAACACCACTTGAGGTAATCGATTCTGATGACAGTTCGCCATAAGCTCTCACTCGACGAGTTGTGTTCGAGTAGAGAGCCTGAATAAGGTTAATGTACTTCTTTGGTACTCCTTTCAGTGACAAACACTGCCATAGAACCTCACGATCAACAGAGTCGAATGCCGCCTTAAGGTCGAGAAATACTACCATTGTGGGGCGTCTAAACGTATGTCTGTGTTCTAGAACCTGACGTAGTGTGAATATCTGATCTATACAACCACGTCCAGGTCGAAAACCGGCCTGGTTTTCTCTAATCTGCTCTTCACGAGCTTTGATTAAGCGTCGAAGTATTATTGAAGCTAATATTTTAGACACTATATTAGTCAAACTGATTCCTCTGTGATTGTCACAAGAGGACTTTTGTCCTTTCTTATAGACTGGCACAATCAGTGATTGAGACTAGTCAGATGGGATTACGTTCAGTTCCTGAATTCTACTTAAGACCTCGGTTAATCTCATTGCTAATACTGGACCACCATCCTTAAAAATCTCAGGAGTAAACCTGTCAGGGCCTGCTGCTCTCCCTCGTTGCAGATTTCCTATGGCTTTTTCAACTTCGTAAAGAGACGGAGGATCTACATTAACTTGCCATTCAGGTTGAATGGAGATCGTGAGAAACCGAAGTGTGGCTGAAGGCCAGGTGAACTGATCCCTGAAGTGTGCTGCCCATCGATCCAATCTCCTGGATTGGGAATGAATAATATGTCCATCTTTCTCTGAGATCGTTTCGCTAACGGTCGGGTTCCTAATTCCGGTTTTTTTAACGAGTCTGAACAATTGTCTGCTATTACCTATTGCCGCTGCCTTTTCCATCTCTCTTGCTTTCTCTACCCACCACTGTTCGCGATCATTGCATAGACTTCTTGTCAGCTTGCGCTTAAGCTGATTCCCCTCTTCACTATGTTCAGAGCCAGGTGGAATGAGTTTCCGAGCATCTATCAGTGCGATAGATGCTGCTGAGATCCAGTGTTGCTCTCTAACCCTCTTGTTTACCTTACTAGCAGATATCACTGCTGTTTCCACAGCTTTTCGGATATCATTCCATGCTGCCTCGGGGTGGGCATCACATAAATGGTTGCCTGACTGTTTTTCTAGTTGTTCCTGAAATATATTCTTAGCTTGACTATCATTAGGTAGGCCCCTAAGAGGTTTCCTTGCAGCGTCTTTCCTACGTCCAGTAAGACGCAAGCGAATACGCGCTCGCACTAGAGCATGATCTGAATCTAAGCATGTGCTCCAGAATGAGCGACAGTCTTCTATCGAGCCCCTCCATCGGTGGCTGATAGCGATGTGATCTATTTGGGTCCAACGTTGGGACGAATTAGGGGGTCACCATGTTAAAAGATGTTTTTCCTCATGCTTAAAGTTAGTATTTGCAAGGAACAGGCGATTATCTGAGCATAGCTGCAACAGACGGTCGCCATTATCTGTTCTTTGAGCCAAGACACCATAAGATCCACCTAGGTGTCTTTCCCTATCGCTTAGTTTACCTACTTGAGCATTAAAGTCACCGGCCACTATTACTACATCAGAGCGCCTAGCTTTTCGGAGAAGGTCGGAAAGCTTTCTGTGAAACTCATCTTTTACATCATCTGAGCTACAGTCAGTGGGAGAATAGGCAGAGACGACGAAGAGGCAACGACGAGTGTCCCTATCTTTTCGGATCCTTACTGTTCCGTTCAGTCGGACAGCGCACAAACGACTGTCTACTGGGATCCACTCTAAGAGAGCTAGTTCTGCCCTAGGACTCAGTGCTATGCCTACGCCGGCGAGGCCACGGGAAGCAGAATCAGGGCTTCCAGATACACGAAGTGTGAATCGAGTCGGTTCTTTATTTTGGCATGGTGTGGTCAGATGAATGACGCTGCTCGGATCCTGTATGCGCGTTTCGGAGACGCAGCACACATTGATGGCGCGGGATTCTAAAACCTAGCTAAGGAAGCCTGTTGTCCTATTTGGCACAGTGTTCGGACGTTAAAAGTTCCTACGTGTAGTTTAGAGCGTGGTTTCAGGAGACCAGGAATAGCGTTCCACGTACTCGAATCGTTTGCCCTAGCGGTGCGATGTGATAAAGGGACGTGAGGAGGGTTAGTCATGGAGATAAGAGAGGTATTAGGTGTAGGAAGGATTTGAATGTGACTAACTTGGTCTCGTGTGCTAATACGGGTTTAAGGGCTGATGTCACTTCCCGGCTGCACACACCGTGGAAGGGTATTTCTTGA